AAAAAAAAGCACAAAACAAACAGCAGCAGTGGCGTGAGGCAAAAGCCCCTGTCAGTGCTGGCAGAGCCAAATTTTGTTCTGATTAGTGGAAACTGGTCACACAAACAGGTTGCGCTTGCTTTTATATTTAAAACAGGCGAAAAATAAAAAAAAATATAAACACAAACACTCCAGAGGAGCCCTGAGTGCCAGATAGCCAAGAGAAGATACTGCTGAATTTAACATCCTGACACTAATTAGAGAACACACACGCACAGATCATCTGCAGCTCAGAGTACACACTAACACACACTAACACAGGAGTCAGTATTTCATCTGGCTCCAGAGGGCTTCTGCTGCGGTGTCGTGGTTTTGAGAGGGTTGGGGGTAATAAAGTGTGTGTGTACGTGTGCAAATGGTCAGAGGGAGAGCAGGAGGTGGCTGTCGTCCTCGGTCCTGTGCAGACAGAAAGAGTCCGACTGGGAACATGTAACCTCGCAAAGTAGGCGCGAGGGCTGGTTGCTGGAGATTCGGTAAATCAATAGGTTAAAAAGGAAAAAAAAAAGAAAAAAAGAAGGCGGCTCCGGGGGGGGCATAACAGGGGAGCTATGCACTGTCACTAAAAATCACTTTACGTTTTCTCATCAATAACTCATCAAGAATCTCATCAAGAATTTTGCCGTGCTGCGGGAGAGAAAGAGGAAGAAGAAAAAGGAGAAGAAAAAAAAATCAACCCAACAGAAAACCCAGGAGCGAAATGTTGCGAGGGAGAAGATGATGCGGTTATTTACACTCAGTCCACCTCAGGTACTTAATCTTTCGCAGAAAAAGAGAGAAAAATGCAAATCTTCCCCTGTTTTATGTGTACGACTTCAAGGGAAAAGACAGCCAGCGTGGGATTGTCTCCTCTCCTTTTTCCCCCCCCTTCTTCTCCTGTCTCTATTCTTAAAACTACAGCCTGTAAAAATACTCATTTTCACATGTATCAGAAGCCTGGCAATGGTTTCAAACTAGACAAACAAGCAGATAACGAGGTAGAGAAATGAGAAATGCACTTTTTCCTGTGTGATTAAGGCGGTACATTTCTAGTAATAAACCCGAACCCGTACCTTTGCCTGGCTTTTCCTTCTCCTCCGACACGTCGCTGTGCGTGTCTTTTGATGAGCGGTTGTGCTGACAGATGCTGCACCTGAAATATCAGCGAGACTTTGATTAAAACATCAGTCTCCCTGCTGACATTCCAAACTTTAACAAGCCTAAATGATGCATTTGATAGGAATGCATTCGGTCCATCTGAAACCCGGCTCGGCTTATAAGTCTAAAGCCTTTTGTAGCTCGGTCATGTCACATTTTACGCTACGATAAGTTGTCGAGTTACACAGTGATGGCACTTTTTGGAAAAGGATGAAACTTTCCTGAAAACCCGAAATAAAGCGATAGCTTTTCATTTACCCGGATCGACACTGCAGCTTGTCCCTCGGATTCCCCACGTCGTCCTCGGCGGGGAGGAAAGAGACGGTGCCCTCGTAGTAGTTGTGGCTCAGAAAGGTTTTCACACCTGGAAAGGAGACACAGTCAGTGTGAGTGCAGAATCCAAATGTGCCGTGTGTTTTATTTTGTTGTGCTTAATTTCAACCTGAACTCTTTTTTTTTAAGGTTTTACTAGAAAAACAAACAAACAAAACACAACACATCAGCTTTCACTTTTTAGGCAAGTATGTAACCCCCTACCCTGCAGAACCACTTTATTGATCACTGTTGATTACTGCATAAAAGTTTGATTTTTAAAAACCAAAAAAAACCCAAAACCTTTCTAGCTTATTGCATTCATATTATTTATTAATTGCACAACTCTCTTGCACAATGTCACTTTCTTCTGTAACTTCATTTTGATTTTCTGTAGTTGTATATGTAAAGTTTTTGCACTCCCTCACAGCATGAGGCACTCACAGTGCTCCTGTGGCACTTTTACTTTAACTATGCTGTTTATTTATTGTAGGCTGCACTACCTTTTATTCTTTATCCTGCTGATGCAATACAATTATTTCCCTTGTGGGTTCAGTTGTCTACCTATACTAACTACCTGTCCATCCATTCATCCACCCATCTGTCTCTTATTGCATCACCATATCAAATGCTGGCACTGTGTCCCAGCAAATATGCAAAGGGTGTTGTTTGGTCTTTGCTGCTATCGCATGCAGAGTTGTGTCAATATTTAGAGTTTATTATATACTCCTCCTACAAATGATCATAACTGCCAAACTGTGACACCTGTAAGGATGCTGTGTTAAACGTGAACACAATAAAGGTGTTATTGTTATTTTTAAACAGGGCTAAACGTAAGTGATTTAACTTTGGTCAAGTTTTCCATTTGGGAACACGTCTAGACAGCTTCCAGTGTGGATGCTATCTTAGCCTCCTTCTGTCCACTTGCTCTGTGCGCTGTGCACTGTGCGATTTTACGATAATCCTCAAACGGCAAAAGAGCAAACATCAAGCGGTCGTTCAAATTGACTTGAATTTTGCTTGGAGGATCATTGTTGGTGAGAGCCGGGCCTACAGCTACATCTAAGCATTTTTCTGCAGTTCACAGTGGAATGGTCCACAGTTTCCAAGCCCAACGGTAGCCCGAACCACTTCCATGTGAGTCCTTCCACTCCTTGAAATTGAAAATCAATGACCATTCTGACACACAGCACACATCACAGGCACCAAGTACACTGGGACATAACATGACTAGAGAACATTTTGATCACACCTCATTTTTTTGTGCCTACCTGCAACCAGGAAGTGTAAATTAAAGTAAAAAGATGAGTTTAAATTTATGGATTTCTATTTTGGATAAGTGGAGCTCAATTTTTGTGGATGAAAATTGCTTCTTTCTGTTCAGCTGGCTCTAGTTTAGTTACCTATCTGTCATCATAGCGTTGAAGCCTAGACAAAAAAAACAATAATAATAAAAATAATAATAATAGTAACAATAACAATAATATGTAGAGGTTTCTGCAGACCATCTCATCTAATCATGGTGTTAGGAAAACTGTTGATGCTGCTGCTGATGTCTGGACCCTTTACAAAGCCAGCAAGCCCTGGGAGGAACTCCAGGTTAAATCTTTTTTAAAACAATTCATTGTGAGATTGATAGCGTTTAAGAACAGTGAGCCAAGAGTTAAAAATAAAAGGTTAAATGATCTAGGCAGATTTTAGAAAACTGATGGCCCACATACCTGCCAGGTCGTATCTGGCAGGGCCAAGCCATCTGTTCCTCTCACTGTCTGAAAGCACATCTCCATAGAAGCCGTAGCCAAGCAATGAGACTGAGTATCTGAGAAAGACGTCATTGTGATGAACTGAACACACATCCATTGGCTGCGAATCACCTGTTGAGATAGTCAAACAAAAAAAAAAAAAACAACACAAAAAATAACATGAATATGAAACTAAAATTAGTCTAATCTTTCAAAGGTTGTTGGTTCTTGTAAGTTTTTCATATTCTTTCAGCAATTTCCACTCACCCACAACGATGTGTAAAGCAGAAGTAACTGGATCGTTGGTTCCCACTGTAGCAAAGCAGATACAGTCAGTAGACCCTGTTGGGTTACGGAAACAAAGAT